GCGGGCAGTCATGCTGGCAAACGCATGGCTCACTTGTTCCCCCGAACTACCGAAGAGAACCAGACTTAACCCGACCTCCAGAAAAATATAGTGGTCCTTGGTTACCCCTTACATCAGCCTTTAAAGGAACCCCGTTTAAAGGAGCCCCACTCGGTTCCTTCAGCCTTAGCCCCAAATCCTAAGCCCTAAACCCTAAGAGCCCTGAAGCCCCAAGAGCCCCAAAACCCCCTAAACCCTAAACCCTAAACCCTAAACCCTAAACCCTAAACTTTCAATCCCAAAGCCGAAGCTCGAGCACTTCTCGAAATCCTTCGCCCTAAAAAGGCCCGGGGGCCTTTCCCTAGCACCCGGTTTAGGGTTTAGGGTTTAGGGTTTAGGGGTTGAGAGGGTCTATATCCCCAAGGGTCCCCCTAATCCTAGCATTGGGCTCTTTCAACAAAAGGGGACAGGAGCTTTTGCTAAGTTCTATGGGATTTGGGGTTGGGGATTTAGGGCTTAGGGTTCAGGGCTCTGAGGGCCTAGGATTTAGGGTTTAGGGTTTAGGGTGATCTCCCAGCATGGACTCCTTGATTGCGTATTTCGCAGCCTCTGCGGCAGTGGAACTGGTGCTTCGTCTGCATTTGTCCTTAGGGTTGAGGGTTTAGGGTGCCTGAAATTTCAAAGGCTTCCTATAAGTGGATCTATCAGGGTGCTATAGTAGCTTAGCGCTTAGAGTTTTGTGGTTGCCCTGTTTTCTCTGTCGTCAGGACAGCCACCCTGCTATAGTAGAAGGAGCTGCAGCAACAGCAGGAGCAGGGCTGTAGAGGCGACAGTGGTAGCAGCAGCACAAGAGCTAGACTGGCAGTAGCCGCAGCAGTAGCAGTAGCAATTGCTACAGCTACTACTATTACTTCTACTATGCTACGAATACTGCTAAAACTACTACGACGACGATGACTACTACCATGACGACTGCTACCGCCACTGCTACTACTACTGCTGTTACGGCTACTGCTACTACTACTACTACTGCTACTGCTGCTACTACTACTACTACTACTACTGCTACTGCTACTGCTACTGCTACTGCTGTTACTGCTACTACTACTACGACGACGACTACTACTAATAATAATACTA